AGGGAGGGAGGGAGGGAGGGAGGGAGGGAGGGAGGGAGAGAGAGAGAGAGAGACAGAGAGAGAGAGAGAGAGAGAGAGAGAGAGAGAGAGAGAGAGAGAGAGATCATAGTCTAGTACATATTCCGGACACCCGGACACTTTGGAGTCTGAGAGACTTTCATACATGTTAGAATGAAATATGATAAAATATACTCTCTATATTCTCCATTCAATCCTCCCATGTATCCTCTACTACACAGCTCTCTAAAATTCATGTCTGTGTTTTTATAATACATTAAGTCCCCTTACTGCTGCTCAAGTATGAACGGCTATGATGTCATTCACTGGAGCATGAGAAACCAAAGACGACCCACATCCTCAACAGACTTATTTTCCTTTCCTGAGAAAGTATCAACTCCAAAGAGTTTTTTAATAACAGAAGGGGCTAGAGAAGAGTACCTCTGACATTTATGCCAGTATTTTTAGCTAGCTTGATCTTGTGCAGGTCTTGTTGTGCAGATAACCATAAATTTATGAAGGTATTGATTAAATTGTGCCCAGAAAACATTTGTTATGTACATATAACGAAGTGTGTGTGTGTGTGTGTGTGTGTGTGTGTATGCACATGTGCATTTCTAAGTTTTCTAGCCATAATTAAAAGAGGAATATAGTACTCCACATTTTTATATTCTATATAATGTTCTGTACAGTATTTTATGTACAATATAAATACTTATGTATTTGAAAACATTTGTTTATAAACAACCAAACATATAAAGCATATCAGAAAGGAATTAATGAGTGCACATTTAAAAGACTGCAGTTGGTAATTCAGATCTATAAATATTTAGCTGATGAAAAATTAAATAATATTTTAAAGTAGTCAAAATTAAAACATGAGCATAGTAAATTTCTATGGGTGTTATTTCTTCTTAGGCATCTAATATTTATTTGCTTGTTTTTGCATATTATTTGTTTAAAATTAAGTTTTCCATATATATTTACTCCTGGTAACCATAGATCTTTCTTTGGTACAGCATTTGTTGTTCCTCCTGCATCACAGTAGACATTATTCCTTCAGACTGAATATATCATCTGCTCCTTGAGTCATATGCTTCCAATAGTGAATTATGTATAGTTATAGAGTTCGCTTAGGAGTACAACTTGACAAGTTAATTACCATGATTGTACATGGATACTTAAAACATACTAGAATGAATAATAGCAACACAGGACTCATCATTTCAATGTACTATGTTCTGAACTAGTGCAAGAATGAGATCAGTTATTCACTCTAGATGGATTAAAAACAGAATGAGGATTCAGTTTCATAATATTGAATAGTTAAGGAGCCAGGATGGTATTTGATAGAAGATGCTACAATCAGGAGATATATACAATTCCTATATAGGGAGTTCATGATGTTTCCATGGATGAGTTGTAACAATGTAAAGCTGAGACACATATAAATGATTTGTTCCATTTCACTTCTCTCTAAATAATGTTTCACAATTATATGTATTTTAAAGCAAAAGTGCTTAAAAAGATGAAGATTCTTAATCTAGATCAATCATCTTTTAAATGATATGTTTGCACATAAAATTATAAAGATACTACACATACTTTGCAGATATGTTTAGCGTATTACAGAAAGACAACGTCAAATGTATATGCTATGCATGTGCAATATTTTTAACCTTGTATCAGTGTTCAGTATTGCAGATGAATCATTTAAAATTACTTTCTTTCAAAATAAACAAGTGAAGAACATAAAAACATAGGATTCTCTTACATAATGTGACTTGAATTCTGAAATTTTAACAGGTAATTTCCTGAATCCCAGTGTGCTTTGAAGATTGCTCCAAATAAATACTTCCTTATCTCTCTATATGGAGAATCAGAACCTCTCTGTGCTGAATGAGTTCATTCTTATGGGCATCACAGACCGCCCTGAACTACAGACTCCTTTTTTTGTACTGTTCTTTCTCATCTATGTTGCCTCCATGGTAGGAAATTTAGGCATGATCATCCTTACAAAGTTGGATGAGAGGTTACAAACACCTATGTACTTTTTTCTCAGACATCTAGCATTCATTGATTTTGGCTATTCAACAGCTGTGGGACCAAAAATGTTGGTAAACTTTGTAACAAATAATAATACCATTCCCTACAATTGGTGTGCATTCCAGCTATCTTTGTTTATCTTCTTCATCATTAGTGAGTTATTTGTTCTGTCAGCTATGGCCTATGACCGCTATGTGGCCATTTGCAACCCCCTGCTCTACACTGTCATCATGTCACAGAAAGTCTGCTGGGTATTGGTGACAATTCCTTATCTCTTCAGTGCCTTTCTTTCTTTGATTTCTTTCAAAATTTTTATTTCATCCTTCTGTGGCCATAATGTTATTAGCCATTTCTACTGTGACAGTCTCCCTTTGCTGACCTTGATCTGTTCAGGCACACGTGACATTGAACTTATCATATTGATCTTTTCAGCATTTAATTTGGTTTCATCCCTTTCTGTAGTACTTGTGTCCTACATCTTTATCCTGGTGGCTGTCCTCAGGATGAACTCTGCAGAAGGCAGACACAAGGCTTTCTCTACCTGTGGGTCTCACCTGACAGTAGTAGTTATATTATATGGGACTTTGTTTTTTATGTATGTACAGCCCAAATCTAGTCACTCTTTTGAGAATGATAAAATGGCCTCTGTGTTCTACACCTTGGTAATTCCTGTGCTGAATCCCATTATCTACAGCTTGAGAAATAAAGAGGTAAAAGGTGCTCTTCTAAAGCTATGGAAAAATGTCTGTAAAATTTGTATTTAAACTTTAGTTTAAAGGGGAGATAGCCTAGAAGCACAAAGTTTGCCTAACATATCTACATGTCTTGTTGCATTCTTGGATCCTACAAGAAATAAATAAATAAAGCAAAATGTAATAATGTGCATTTTATCATTCTGATTATATACTATTGCACATAATGTGTACTAGACTTTTAAGTGATCTGGACCTAAAAGGTATAGTGATTTTGCAAAGTTTTCCTTGCTTTCAAAATGCAGTTTATTAGAATTGGTTTTTATTTTAGTATTAAACTTGGTTTCACAAAAAGTTCCTTGCTAGTGCCTAAAGTTTGGCATTATTCTTACTTTGGCATTTGCCTATGGTGAAATGGATGAGACACATTCATGTGTGTACCTCACTTTAGACTTTCTTTGGCTAAAGACATGTATTGAAATGGGTATTTTTCTTTTCTTCCTTATATGCCATCTGTATAGAACTACACATCATACTGGCATGCTGCCATTTAAAAGAAATATTTCCTGTATTATGCTCTACATATATGCTTTGCAAAGAATAGTGAATAATTCTTACTAAATAATTGAAAGTATAAATATAATAAGTATTGAAAGTATATATTTGAAAGTATAATGAGGTCTGATCAATTAGTGCTATTCTTGAATATCTGCAAAGATTAATTAAAACAGCATAAAATAGAGGTTTTTAAATACCAATGTTTATTCTCATATATTCACAACAACTAGGACAAGAAACCAGCATCACTTCTAACAGCAACTATATGGATAAAGACACATTATCTATATAGAGAATTGAACATCTCAGGCATGAAGAGAAAGGAAATAATGTCAGAAAAATTAAGAGAACTGGAGATCATCATGTTGCACAAACTATGCCAAACTTATAAAGAAGTATTGTATATGTACTCTTGTGTAGAATATTTTTTAAAGATGTAAAACTAGAACTTGTATTATTAGAAATGGAAAGTTGAATATGTGAAGAGAGGGAAGAAGATGATGGAACACATAATGTAGTATGTAAATACCCTATATACATGTGTGAATATACAATGAAATGTTTTGTAAAATTTAATATGTATTAGTTGAATTATTAAATGTAGTATTAAACACTGGACTTGGTTGCATATTTTATCTCTTAGGATAATTTTCCACTCAGAATTCTATTAGGTATAACATGTGCAATTTAAACAAAGGTATATATGATCTGCATCAGGAAGCAAAAATTCAAGTGCTGGAAGATAACGTTTAAACATGGGTTGAAGAAGTAGCCATGCCAAAGAGAACACAGGAACTTCAAAAGTTCTCAGTCACAGACCAAGTGGTATAGACAAATAAGAAACACTTAGAGTGGGAGACATAGCAGTTTCCAAACAAGAGCATACTAACTGGTTATTCAATACCAAGTGGTCAGACCTGAAAAGGTACATACAAATACATGCAAATGATATCATATAACTGACAGGGTTCTCTCTCTCTCTCTCTCTCTCTCTCTCTATATATATATATATATATATATATATATATATATATATATATATGTGTGTGTGTGTGTGTGTGTGTGTGTGTGTGTTTGTGTGTGTGTGTGTGCACGTAACAACAGCTAATGAAAAGCAGGTAATGAATTCAAGAGAAAGACAAGGAAAATATGAATATGAGAGGCTAGAGGGAGGAAAAGGTAATGAGAAATGATATAATTATATTATAATACTGGAATAGAGTAGGCTAACCATCTGGATCAAAGCTATTTACCCCCTAGAGTTAGATTATTTTCTATTAGCAATTTCATTAAACAGAAAGACAAAATGGAACACCTCAGATAATTGGTGACATAATCCTTATGGAGGACAGTTTTGAGCCTCTCATCACCAAAAGAAAGGAGTAGGAAATGGTTATGTATTCTATGATTCAGTTATTTTGATCCAAGGATACTTCCAAAGGAAATAAATTAAGCATAGCAAAGAGATACTCATATACTCATGATAATGAAGATAAGGTTGTAATCAAATGCTTATAAATAGATTAATGCTTAAACAAACAATTTGTTTGTACATGTATATGTTTATGGGCAGCACATGTATAATATTTTGACATTGGATTAAAAATAAATAATACTGGATCATATTTTTATTATTTTAAAACTTTGACAACAAAGGACAAATATGAAAACTCTGTTCCTTAAATGGAAACTAGAATATAAATCAATGTAGATTACAAGATTCTGTGGCAGATGGTAAATGGAGGAAGTGCATAATGTGTCCCATCACCAATTGCATAACTAAAATGAATTAAAAGTTCTATATCTCTATACTACATAGCTATATTTCCTCAATAGCCTACTAAAAACTATATTAATTACATTTCCATAGTTGCGAAAGAATTCCACAATTGTAAAAACTTACAGAAGGATGTTTTTCTGGTTTTAATGTTTCAAAAGAAGATGAATCAATCATGGGGAGAGGGAGGAGTCCAGAGGCAATATGGCTAGAATAGAAGTGGGGTCTCATATCTGGGATATGATCTGGGAACTGAGCAAAGATTTTGAAGCCTCAAAACACAACCCTGGGGATGTATTTCTTCCTTCATGTCTGTTCTTTTAGACCTTCCAAAACTAGAAAGCAAGTGTTAGATGCCAGAGCCCACCAGAACATTGCCTTTCAGATCACTTAGCATGCTTTATAGATAACTAGAAGAGAGAAACACATAGACCTAACACATAGAGCAAAGGATCAGTCAAAACTCATCTGAGAAGCTTTTTTTGCAGTAGGTGGTGATGAACACAGAAATTCTCTAACTGGATAATGTGCAAAGGATGGAAGACGTTGAAACAGTCAGTCCTAAATGGGCTCTGAAGGAGTTTATCTTAATTCATATTTCATCTTACAATTTTCACAGTTACATAAAAATAAAAATTTAATAACCAAAGAGATACTTAAATGTTCATTTTTATCTTAAATTATGTGTAAAAGTAAGACATGGAATTAACTAGATACCATCAATTATATAGACAGAGACATAGAGAGAGGGAGAGAGAGAGAGAAAGAGAGAGAGATAGCAAGAGACTAACTCAGCCTAAAAAGCATGGCATCATATCATTTGTTGGAAAATTGTGAATGTAGAATATATTATGTTTAGTTATGCTCATATTTATACAGATAGCCATTTTATTTGATCATTACTTATGGAGCTTATCTATCAAACCATTGATCTGTCAAGTATATTCTAAAAATAAATTAAATAGATGAAGGCAAAGGTGTTGGAAATAAGTGTAATATTTGTGCTGCTATTTTTATGAATCATGGGGCCATTCATGGTAGAAAATACACTAGAAGACTTTTCTAAAAGCGGAAAATATTTTCTTTCAGTTGTTGCTATATAATCTTGGATCTCATTACATAGATAGGTTAATCTTGTAAAAATTTAATTTAGGATGTCTGGATTTGTAAATCTGTCTAATACTTTGCAAACTAATTCAATGTATCACAAAAATATAGAAAAATACAAATAGTTTTTGAAATAACTTGTTTTAAAGCATCCTGCATTAAAGTTCTGCCATATAGCTATAGGCATAACTCAATAAAATGCAACTTTTTACATTATCACTAATGTGTCTTACAGGTAGAATAACTTGATTCTAAGTATCTGAGACACAGTAGAGAAAAATTAATAAAAAGCAATGGTGGGAGATATCTCCCATAATACTACTTACATGGAAATATAAGTATCCTATAATTATCAAATGTCTCATGGGCTCTTTATGAAGCTTTCCAAAGCCCAGGTAGAATTAGTAAATTGCTTTTCTTTGACTTAGGAAGAGCCCCACGAGGGGGGTGAAAACTCATAAATCATTCCTATGGTGTTGAGAACACACAAGGAAAATGCATGAAAAATTCATCGTTAGAAGTGAGTATCCTGTATTTGTTTCTGAATCTCCTCCTAAGAATCTAAGTCATAGCCTGTTACAAGTTTCTGAAATCTAGACTTTATTATGCTTCAATAATCTGCTTTGAAAAACAAAGTCAAGAACAACATGGAATTAATTCTGTACTTGGTAGAGGGAGGGAAGGGTTTATCTTCATCCTTCATTTATAGGTCACAGCACTATTTGTTGTAGGGACTCGTCTTTCTCCACTGAATGCCTTCCACTTAATTTGGGCATACATGTATACACATAGTGCTTGTACTTACTATAGTCCAGAATGTATGTGTTTATTCTTTGGGAAACATGCTTGTAAAGTAACCAATGTTAAACTTTTGCCATTGCTACTGTAGGCATAAATCTATGAAAAGCAACTTGATTAGAATATCATTAATATAGCTCACAGGTACACTGATGTGGTTCTCAATTTCTGAGCTACAGGAGACTAGAGTCAAAAAAAAAGAACAGTGATGGCTAAAATTAATATCTAAAATTAAGAGCTGAAATCAGAATATATAAATCTTCTAACTTCTTAGAAGAAACTTCTTTACTTTTTTTCTGTTTGCTTATTTTGAGTACCTTGGAAATTCTTAGAATTCCATCTAAATTTTATTATTGACTTTTTAAATCCCTTTCATAATTGCCACAGAGATTTAATAAACTAGTTGGGTTTCTGGACAATTTTGGTATGAGCAGCTATAAAATTGTTCTCCATTAAATAAATAACATTTTCATATATTAAATTATTTGTTCATCAGTATTTTTCAGAATATAAATCTTCTTTCTTAAGATATATATATATATATATATATATATATGGAATTGATTTCTAAACAATACTTTTATGCACTGAAAATGTAATGAATTGGATTATTAAGTATTTTAACTTTTTTTCAATATTTTCTAATGCTTAAATGTGAGATGTTTTCCACATAAACAAATGTTTGAACACTTTGTCCATAGGTTATAGTACTGTTTTGTCAGGTTGTAAAACCTGGTAGACAGTGTCAATACCTGGCAGACACAAGCTTTCTGGGGGGAAGATTCATAGTTACAAGCCAGCCCTGACTCTACACAGTCAGTGCACACTGCTTCCTTATTGACTACTATGTGGGCAGTCCTTGTTGCACAGACAAGTCCAGCTGCCCTCCTTATCCCATTATGTCCC